AAAGAGGACATGAGAACAATTGCATATTCTAGCATAGACTAATTGTGTGCACAGTTCAAGGATGTCAGAAGATACAATAGCAATAAATAATAGTAACCAAGCTTGTATTCTGCCTAGCCATTATAAGATGTCTGTTTTCTTTCATGATTGTGACACAGGAGTATTATTTCTGGTGAGATCTGGTTAGGGAAATATTAGGTGTATATGCATTTCTGTCAGGTAAAACTTTAACTGTTGGTTAAAAAACAAATCAGAGTTTAATATTTGGTAATCTGAAGACTCCTAGGATTGCCTCTTAATTTCTGATAGGACACAAGATTCTCACACTTTCAGTCAAGTCAAAACATAAAAGTAAGATAGCTAGCTTTTAGATTATTAAGTTTCCATAGGTGTTATTTGGGGTAAGGAATAAACAAGTACACCTTCATTTTCACAATGAGTAATTATTAAAGATGGTTTGGTGAAGGTGTATTGAAAATAACTGAGTTATCTGGGTTTGGAAGAGCAGAACTGCATTGTTGACATAAAGCAGAAACATAAGAATTTTATCCTTTCAGTTCAAGGGAAAAGAAGCATTCCTCTTTTAGTGTCTACACTGCATTAACAATAATGCAAAATATCAAGTAGAAGAGGGACTACATCACCATCTGATCACTTTGGAAACTGAAAACATCAGTGTAGTCTTATGGTGCAGACACAAGTGCAGGTCCCTGCTGTAACTGAGAATACTTTGCAGGAAGCGTTCTAAGTTGAAAGGATCCCCTGGACCAAACAGAAGTTCACTGTTGGTTCTGGGGGGTGGGTGGGAATCTAGCTGCTGGCTGTGAGTCAGCAACTGGTTTCCCCTAGCAATGGCTCCTCCTCTCTGAAAGGCTACAGTATTTTCAGAATGGGAGGGGGGGAAAGGGAGCAGAGGGAGCTTGTTCAAGGGTTCTCCAGCCAGTCTTGGATTTAAGAAGGTGAATTGGAGCCCCCCACCTTGGGAGGGGGGGCTCCAATGCCTCCATCCCACCCTCCAGCAGGGGCTGAAACCCCCCCAGACTGAACTCCCCCTGCTCCCTTTCCTCCCTCCCATTCTGAAAACAGTGACAGTCTGGGAGGCAGCACAGACAGAACTTACAGAAGACGCTCTGTTTTGAAATGTCATCATCTGTTCCCCTCATGCAATGAGGGTTCAGATTATCACCTGAACGGCCATTTTTGAACTGTCTGCAGCTGTGCACTTGTGTTCGGTCATGGCTATAGACTGCTTTCTGTGGCCAGATTGATCAAAAACTGTCACTTCTGTCTGCACCCGTAGTCTTCATTTTTGCTATTTCTTATCATGGCTGAAGTTGTGTTGTTCTTCTTGTCACAACCCAAAGGTGTGATTTTTGTTTTTGTGTGTGCTTTGGCACCACTGAATTATTTTCCCGCCGTTTTGAAGCTTTCTTTGCAGGGTGCATTTCTTCTTTGCAGCATCATTTCTTCTTGGCAGCATAGAAATGCACGTTGCAAGGATTCCCCGCCATTTGTATTAAAATTCGAGCCCCATTATTGGCTAGTGTTAAAATATTCCCACGTGGCGGCTAGCGATTGGCTTGCTTTGGAGAACTCCGAGGAGAACCCCGCAAGGGAGGACTCCACGAACATCAGGAGAACTTTGAGCCCACTGCAGAGTTAACCTGCGGCTGCTGATCGATAGACTGATCACCTATCGATTCTTCTCCCCGTCACCGAGCGCAATCTTCGACGTATCCCTCTTCCCTGCATGCAAAAAGGACCCACGGAGCCTCGACAACTCCGTGTGAGTGAGTCAGATTTTGTCCGAGTCCCTAAACTGGGGATTTAAGCGGAGCTTTGCCTGGGAAACTGTCCAGCCTGTCACAACCCAGTGATTTTTTGGTGCCTCGGCACTATGGAATTTCCTGGCCACATGAGAGCTGTTTTGCATGGCAGAGTGTTCTACTGCAATTAAGAGCCTGCGTGCAGGAGAGTTCCCGCCAATTTGCAGTTTCCTTTGCAGGATGCATTTCTTCTTTGCAGCACAGAAATGCACGGTGCAAAGAGTTCCCGCTATTCGGATGCAAATTTGTGCCCCGCTATTGGCCAGTGCTAAATTATTCACACGTGGCGGCTAGTAATTGGCTCGCTGGCCGTTTAAAATTCCGCGCGACTTCCGCCCAAGTCGAAGAGCTTTGAGCACGCTGCAGAGTGCCTCTGAAGTTATCTGACTTGCGGCTGCCGATCGATAGACTGATCACCTATCGATCTTTCTTCCCGTCACCGAGCGCAACCCC